GGATCGAAATTTTCTCGCACCGAGGCTCTTAACTACAAATTATTATTATTTTGGTATAGCAACAGTCGGACCTTTGAGTTGTGGTTCACCTCGAAAAAGGTGGCAGAGAGATGATAATTATACATATATTTCTAAAATGTGAGGGTATGAAGTGGGGAAGAGATTGTGCGAGTGTGTAAGATTATTTTACCCCAATACTAAACACGTGGTTTGTTCAGTGTGCGAAAGCCGCCTATGAGTATCGTAGTAGACCTTGCCCCTTCGCCCCGCTTGTGAGTGGTCGTTTGCCCCACCCTATTTTCTCTATTTGTCTCCGTTGGATCCCGGTCTTTTATCCGCTAGTTTTGCGCGCTAACCAGATGTTGAAATAAATGATATCTTATTTGAAGGAAGTTTTTCTCTCTTCTCCTGGCACTGACCACAGGTTTTCCCGGTGTGGCGGGTGCCAGTGCCCCCACCGGAAATGGGCACTGCCAGCAAATGTCGGCCAGTTAGACTACAGAGGCTTCCGGTTCTGGCGACTCGAGAATTTGGCCAAGCCAAGGCCGACTGAACAGGGGACACGTTTCCCTGGATACCTGGGTAGGGATGAAAAAATCGGAAAACTTATGGCAAAGCAGCGAAGGGTTCCGGGAGTTTTACAGTAAGTAATCTCTGTGAAACAGATTTTCGCAAAAGCCGAACTTTTAAATATTGGCTCGGGGCATCATTTTATTGGCTCGGTGATGTGTTTGGTATCCAATCCGAGCCTTTTGTGTCAGCCAGCGCACTTTACCGTACTTTCCGGGTATACCGACTTTTTGCTCGCTGCCCCATATAGTAGAGCCTTTGTTGATCTTATTTCCCGGTTCGCTCGTACCCACTAGAGCATATTTGATCCTACGATCAACCCTACTATGATACTACCGAAATTTGCAAATATAGTTTGCTCATGTCATGAAGCAGATTCGCTAACTGCGGTAAGGTTACCTTGAGTACAGTTTAGTATGATACCATAGGTAGGGGCCTTTTCCAAAGACCGAGTCAATTACAACCACTGCCCTCAAAGACTATCTGTTGAAAGAGAGTTTAATTAATACATTATGATAACCTCCGCAATTGGGTCATGAAATTTCTTAATGGTCCTAATATAGCATGATATCAGGAGGGTGTTCATCCTATCTCTTCTGAATTACTTAAGCATACTGCTCCTCCCGCCAGTCCTCTCTGCACCGCGCCCACTGAGGTTGGCGTACTTTGCCTAAGTTCAGCCCTTGAGAAGGCAGAGCTTGCCTAGTATTGGCTAGGCTTCCGGGGCGGTAATGTTTCTCCACTAGCGAGTGCTCATTCAAGTATGTTAGCTAAGGAGTCAAAGCTACATTGGCATTGTAGGGAGATACCGGTGCTGATACTCACATCTAGGTCATGTGCGAGGTTAGGGCGGTCCTGTTTTGGGTGCTTGATATACCGTATAATATATGTTTTCCATTAAACTTAACTAGCTTTTTCTGATCAAGGACCATCTCTCCTCCATCCCCGGCACCGCCCACGTTCCACACCACAACAGAGACCAGATGCAGTACCGGTTTGGGAGGGTATCCCAGTGCAATTCTACTTGTAGCTCATGAGGTTCTGGATGTCGGGCTCCTTGTTGATGGGTGTGCTGAGAGCATTATGATACTCGCTTACCGGCACCTGTAGTTGGAAGTGAAACCCGAGATAGGTTGTGTAACGGTGAATTGAACTTTTACAGCTAAAATAGAATACCAGGTACGGTAGGCGAGGCTAGGCTTGGGGTGCACAAGGATAAGCATGAGGTAAAATTTATGATAGCGATATGAGTTGTTCTGTACGAGTACTGTAATTGTACGAGAACCCGTACTCGTACAAGTAGGCGCAAGCCCTGGGGGGGCCAAACACCAATCATACTCGGAGCTTCTCATTCACCCCCAACCTAGCCTTGTCGTTAAATTTAGGGTGATAAGCTAGTCGAGAGCCGTGCAGCACAGCACATAATTCAGCTCCCTCACGGTTACATTTATTTGTCCCCTCCGTACCGCCTCGAGTACCGGGTAGTGTCGCATTCCCCATAGCACAATTTTTTTACCAACCCCAAATTTACCTGCAGGAGAAACAAAAGTGAGCAAGGGACCAGGAAATACTATAAAAGCCGGAGTGATTGGACCTTGCACTGGGGCGTTGGAGTTGTCTCCTCTGATAAGGTTGATGGTACTGGTGTTTTCTTATTTATTTATTTGTCTCAGCTAAGGGCTGAATGACAGTTTTTTCGCTGTTTCTCCCCCTATTCTACAGGAGAATATTCTGGGGGTCTTAGCGAGGTTTAATTATTCCTGCTTAACCGGGGAAAGAAACACTGCACTACCCGAGCAAGTAAGATAAAAGCCAAAGAACTATCCCGAGGAAGGCGTTCGCTGACCCCGAGTGCTTCTCATATAGGAATTTTATATCCTCAAATTCAAGAACAGGGTCTTAACTGGGTAGCCGAGGGATCAGCGCCGAAGCTAGAGGCATCATTCAGTCACAGAGAGTTTTGCCGTGTGGAAAGTCGGAATCAGAGGTGCCGGAACGCAACAGGGTATCGGAAAGGCCTGGTGCTTTACTAGGTACGATAGGCGGCGATAAAACTCAGTCTCTGTCCTGGGTTGTCCTAATTCCCGTTTAGTTAGTTGCTAGGATCTCACCTGAGGAAGCGCTCGTTATCCGCCTCGATAGTTATATAAAAGGGCCGTTTGATAATACACACTAGGGTCTTGGGAAATACAGTGTCGGTCACAGCAGAATCAACAGAAAATCCTGGCCGAAGATTCAGCATTCGGAGTGTATCTTCAGACATAAGATGGCAGAAATACCGGCCCCGAGGGACGTGGGGGCTTCCAAGAGTGGTATATCGGGTCAAGATTCTGGAGTTATAGGGTGGTGTGGGGACCTGGAGGGCGCCATGAGAGTCAGTGCTGCTCTCTTTTCTATATACAAGCAGACGAACGACATGGTCTGCCTCAATGGTGCAATTGCATTTGCTAAAAGTGCCATTTCGGCAACGGCTTCTATACACACAGAAAGCCTTCAGATGGAAAAGGCAATGGAAGCATATCTACCGGGTAACCCCGCTCGGGTGGATATGCTGGGTGACTGGAGCACCATGCTGGAAAGAAGATTTATCCAGCTGGGTGACATAAATGATTTGGAATTGGCTGCTGGCATCAATAAGGAAATAGTGAGAAGTACTTGTCCTGAGGGCCCCGGTCACATCGATGCGCTTGAGAACCTAGGAAGGATATCCTTGGGAAGGTTTGAGCGGACAGGAGGCCCTGGGGACATCCAAAAAGGCATTGAGCACTACGAAGAGGCACTGGCTGCTACTCCCGAAAGTCACCCCGATCGAGCACGCATACAGAATGTTATTGGGGGCATGTTCTCCACGAGGTTTGAGAGGATAGGAGACCTTGCTGACCTCCAAAAATCCATTAAGCACAGAGAAGAGGCACTAGCAGCCACCCCCGAAGGCAACCTCGATCGGGCAAACAGGCACAGTGGCATGGCAGCCGTGTTCTATTGGCGGTTTCAGCAGATAGGTCATCTTGGTGACCTCGAAAAAGCCATTAAGCACTGCGAAAAGGCACTAACTGCT